CAAAGTGACTTCTCATTATTGTCGTAAACAAAACATGAAAGTTGTATACTGAGCCAATTTTCAATAGTATAAACGAACTTCACAGACGTGAGTTGCGCTTTGTCATTAGAAAAGAAAAACGCATTTGGCCATCTCGGCATTCAGGGGCATTTTCCATGAACAAAATATTATGTCTGTTAACGCACCAGTGTGGGCCATACGGGCGGAAAAGTTGGTGACGAGATTTGGAAGCATTTCAATGAAGGGAAATCACAAGAAGCTTAAAAAGGACAACAATAAGAAATTGTCTGCAGCAAGCACGGCAAAAATCTGTGTAATCGTCGTTCACTTTCAGTCTGTCCTCATTGGTGCCTTGTCTACAAGAATTGTCCGTGCACGACTGTAGGCCTACCATAGTTCACTAGGTGACAAAGGATGTGATATATATATATATATGCTACGTTTGACGTCAGGAGCTTCATTAAAGTTAAACTGGCCGTTTTCCTCCAGTATTTTTTTTTGCAAAGTCCAGATGCAGACACATCTGCGTACGGTCCTTAACACCAAGCCTTAGCGCAGGTAGGGCGTATGGTCCCCTAGCGCCAAGCACTATTGGGGTATACGGTCCCCTAGCGCCAAGCACTATTGGGGCGTACGGCCCCCTAGCGCCAAGCACTATTGAGGCGTACGGTCCCCTAACAATTACCTTTGAAAAAACTAATTTCTGAGGGAATTTTAAACTAAAACGTTCATTAAAATTAAAGGCACACAAATTTTTTAAAGTAAGGTCAATATCAACAGGATGTCCGTATCTATCTTTTGATTCACGTCATTCAAGTTTGTTGCTGTCTCAGGAATTAAAGTAGAGGCTGATAAATAATATTATAAAAGGAATAGGATCTAGATCTAGGCGTATCTGAGCCTTTGCTAAAAGGTAGGGGTGTTTGCATCATGAGTGAACTCAGGTGCTCGAGTCAAAATAATGAGTTTGAGGAAACCCACATTCTTCCGCTGGTTTGGAAATTTTTATGGATTGACTTTTTGGTTTTTTTATTTTACACGTTTCTTTTATATTAAAAAAACTCATTTCTGAGGGATTTTTAAACAAAAACATTCATTAAAATTAAAGGCACAAAAAAATGTAATCGACCCCCACCTCCTTCGATCGCAAATATATCTCGACTTCTAAACAAATATCATGTATGACAAGTATTTTTTTCATCAAAAGCAAGGTAAAGAAACAAGGTTTTAAAGATGTATAAACTCCATATTGATGCCCCCATGATCAGACCTCGTAAGTGCCAGATCTCAGATTAATTTTCCAGGAGAAGGAAAAAACTGATTTATTTTAAAACAGCATTGTCAAATTTCCTCCAGTATTTTTGCAAAGTCCAGATGCAAGCACATCTGCGTACGGTCCCTTAACACCAAGTCTCAGCCTGTCCCCACGGTTTTATGCAAAAAAAAAATTCTGAAATTATGCAGACTGAGCCGAAAAATGTAAAATTAGAGCTATACGATTTTGTTAATTTTAACAAAGACTGTTAAAGAAAAATAATCAGAAATTATTATGCAAAAAACAATCAAAT